CAGTAATTGCTTTTTCCTGCTGCCACCTATAAAGAAAGTAATGAAAGTGGCTGAAATACTGTGGCGTAATATCGGAATTTAATTAAAGATAATGAAAAAGTAGTGATGAATGCGTGCAGACTGTCCGTGCATCGCCGTTTTTATGATCGACGCATGATACCAGAGCGGTGGAAATTTGGCGGTCCTGCAGGAGCAGGATCTGCTGCAAGCGGGAGCTGGAGGGGGCTCCAGGAGCTCAGCACGGAGCCCCACCGCTTGCTACCATGAAGCTGGAGATGCTAAACTGTGCCTTCACGACATAAAAACTTCTTTAGGAATACCCCTCCTTTCACGCTCACTTTGCTGCCGTGCCCTTCTTGTTTAGGGCATCAGGCAAACCTTGCCTCGCTCTTCCTGATTTATGCAAGAAAGCAGCAACAAGATGCTGAGGTTTGTTAATCTGGTTAGCAACAACAAACATACACTTAGTAGAGGCCAGGGAGCCCATTAAAAGAGCATACGCAGTTCCGGTGGGAAGTGTGAACGTGCTAAGCTGAGCCTCCCTTGCTCACTAACTGGAAAGCACAACTGACAGCTAATAATTTGGAGTGGTGTCTAATGTAAATACAGAATTAGAATATGCTCTTAGTACACAGTTTTTGTAAGCTCACAGCTTTCAGTTTGGAGAAGCTCTGCCTAGACATGCAGATGCATGCTGGCATCTAAGGCTGAGCTGATACAAGCTCATGAATTAAGTGAACTCCTCTTGCTTTGGAGAAAAAGCACACCAGCAACAACAACAACAAAAAAATGAACCCTTCAATTTCTTGTGTTTCTGGATGTCAGTGAAGTTACACCAGGACAGAATTTGACCCAGCAGCCTCATTGCATGACCTTCAGAGTGGAGAACATGGGAGTGGTATTTGAGAACTGGAAGGCTGGGGAAAAGCTGCGATTCCTTCACAGAAGGGAAGTTGGCAGTGCTGATGCTCAGCGGGAACAGATGCTTCTTCTTTGTGGAGAGAAATCCGTGACCCCTCTCCCTAGCAAGACAACCCTTAAGACCATCCCTGCCTTCCCTGGAAGGTGCCTGGACACCACAGAAAAGGCAACAGAAGACAGCCCTCTGTCTCTCAGACATGACAGAGCCTATAGCCCCAAGGAAAAGCACCTATATGTTGTCATCACCCAGCCCACAGTGCTGATGATGAGGCTGACAGTGGAGTTTCTGGTTTTTGCAGCCCCTTCGTCATCCCCACAGCTCTGGGCAGCAGCAAAGGCTGCTGGGGCGAGCGCAGGCCTGCTGATGCTGCAGATGGGCTGTGATGCTCAGAGATACTCGGCTGTGAAAAGCCAGTTTCCCAGCCCACGGTGCAGCTCTCGAATATCTTGGCTGTAAATATCCTGAGCTGGATGTGGGAAGATAGGACAGCAAGGAGGGGACAGCCTCCACCTTCCCTGCTAGCCCAGAAGCTGCCTTAGGCCTGCTGGCAGTGACTCAGATATCAAATGGGAAGAGCAGGCGTGCCGTGCCGTCTGCTTCTCCTCTTGAAGTATCAAGACAGGACTGGTGTAAGCAGAGGGGTAGAAATAGATCTGCACCATCTTCATAAGGTGCCTGAAGAAGGGAACGTGCTGCACCCCGAAAAGCACGGGCAGCAGATGAACCCTTCCAGCCCTGACTGAGGGGCTGCTGAAGAAAACCCGCCATCCCACCCCCTCTTCTTATCCCATGGCATTTGGACGACAGTCCTGCATATGTCACCAGGGGAAGTGCCAAATCTTACTTGGAAGCCAACTGTGCCAATTTAACACCCTGTCACTCACAGCCGCAGCACAGGTGTGACCTAAGAACACCGCTTCTCATCCTCCCGATCATATGTCATGTCCTCAGACTGCCGAGCTTCTTATTAGGTTAGAAAGTCAGCGCTGATATCACTCTTTTCTCTCCTTCTCCTTTCCCTGCCTCTTCCCACCAATTGTTTGTCTGCTCATCCTGCCACAAAACTCTTGTTTGGTTTCTGGAGCAGCAAGATCTTCCTACCTGTTTGCAGGCATGAACTTAGGTGCTGCTGGCTGTCAAAGCAGCCTTCCAGGGCACTGGGGATACACATCTGTCCTGCAACTTGGAGACCATTTTACTTCTTAACAGGAGATATAGCCCTGACAGTGGGAACCATGCCCGGGAGGATGCTTGGGGTCCATCCATCTTCCCCTTCCAGCAGAAGAATATCTGCTTCTTTCCCACTACGCAAGCCCCTGAGGCTGGAAGGAATTTAATTCCAAAAGCTGAAGGCCCCCTTGCACTTTGGTGCCTATTTGGACAGCACGGTTGTTGCTGCAGGACAAGACAGGGGGTTCATACAGTTGCTGTCACAACCAGCCATACATCCCTGAGCTCATTTATAGCTGGGTCAGCTGGGAAGAGCCATTGGCACAACCAGTAGCCAGGGTAAAAGCAGACCTTTGCTGCTGCAGCTTGTCTGGGTCAAAATGTAAGAGCAGAGGCAGATATCCCTGCAAAGTCACATTGGTGGATCTCCTTATGGAAGTGTCCGCAGCATCAGCCCCACCATCACCCTGGTGGGAAATGGTCCAGGAAGCAAATCCAAGAGCTCATGTTCACTTTCTTTCTTGCTGTAACTGGGCAGCATTCCTTCCTGGATGGCACAGGGGAGCTGGCAGCCCAGGAAAACACTTGAGTGAAAGAGCTGGGCAAGTAGGGAAGTCATAGAGACAGCTCTGACTTGCAGTGGAGCTCATGTAGGGCTTTTAGGAGCAGTTTGCCCTTCAAGGGGAAACTCTGATTGTTTTCCCATGGCAGAGCAAATTTAAACCCGGAGTAAAGGTTTGGGTCTTTCAGAAGGAATGCATCAACAGTGCCTGCTTTGAAGCAATCGGTCTTGTCCCTGATCTTGCTGGACACTGGTGTAAATGTGGTGCAGCTCCTCCAGTGATTTCCATGCTGGATCTCCCATGAATACCACTCCGCTGCAGACTGATTTGCACTGGCTGAGCTCCTATAGCCTAGCAATACATGCAGTTGCTTTCACTTTCAGCCTAATGGAACGTATTATTTTCTATCTTCCAGCTGCTCAGACTCATTTATAATGATTTCATAGCTCAACCTGCCTCAGCAATAATCCCTGCAAACTTTGAGTTACACTGAGCTGATCGGTCCATGGACTAGGAGTATGCCTTTGAATCAAATGTTAGAGCTGGAATCCACTCTGTGCTGGATGTTGCATTATACATTGGGAGATTTCTTTCCTCCTAAGGGATGGCTTGCAGCAGAGAGCATACTGTGGTTGTAGCACAAACACAGCTATTTAAATGAGCCACAGTGAGAACAGAATTTGTGTTAGGCTGGGAGGATAAAATTGGATTGAAATTGGATATATTCACATACGTACCATTGATCTCATCCGTCCTTACTTTACATATGTTGGATTTCCTGCTGCCAATATAAAGGAGCGGATCTAAAATAAGCCAAAGGTATGCAAATGGAGAGCAACACGTTCAAGTGGAATTACCATTTCACCTCTAGGTTTGTTCGAGAGGCAGAAATAAGGCCAGAGCACTGCCTTGTTTCACACATGCTGTGCCTGTTTGCATCATAGCTATGGAAGAGGTGCTCCTCACAATGTTTTTTAGATTTCTATTGCCTAAGTGAGCAAGAGGGGGTTAAGAGCACAGGTAGGAACTGCAAATCAGGGCTCCTGCTTGCTCCCAGCAGTGTGGGAGAGAGTGCCCTCCCGCGTCCAGAGCGAGGAGCCTGGTTAGGGACACCCACGTCCCCCACCCAACACTCCTCATCCCACACTTGTGTTGCCAGTTTGGCTAGGAGATCCGATAAATATTTGCCACAGTTTCTCTCATTGCCAAAAGGGAGGGCTAAAACTTATTGGCCCACAAAGATTAATTACTCGGGCTTTGCAACATGTTTTGCACTTCTCAGAAGGACGGTGATGTTCTCTAGAACTGGAAACCCTCCCTCTCTTCTTTCCCACACTTGCTGCTTGCCATCTGGCTGAGAGGCATGCAGAAAAGAAGACACGAATCCTCCATTTAATTATACTGCGCATTTTATTATCTCACCTCAGATTTTGTTGTTAATCTCTTTTACAGATTTCATTTACATAAGTGGAGTCTTTTAGCTTTAGCAAGCTACACCGCTTTCTCTTCTGATTCTGCAGATATCAGTCAGCTAAAAAGAAAAAAAGAGGAAAGAACAAGTGTCCTTAAATTTGTCATTCAGTCTTTCCTTGGTTTTATATATTGTTTCCTCCTCCTCAGCTCCCCAACTAAAAAGCTAGAAGGCAAAGTGAAATCAGCACAGCCCAAGTGGAATAACAACTCCCACAGGGATACAGGGTACCCTCTTGTTTGGGACATTTAAGCCCAGATAAGACAAAAGTCCAGAGATAACACTAGTGAGACCCATTCCACCACCCCCCAAGTCTGCAGGCAGGAATAGCTGCATCACATACTGCCCCTGGATATTTCTTTTTGCAATTCCAATACACTAGAGAGCAAAGCCCAGGGCTGGATTTGTTAGCACGCAGCTCCTTGAATTGCAGCTAATTCTAGCTGTAATTGTGAGTGTTAAGCCCCTGTGCAGGGAGCAAGGTGCTCAGGTCTGACTGCAGGTGCTGAGCTGCCTCGCAGGTGTAGCTTGCATTATAAGCTCTGTTGGAAATCGCACCCTGAAGACTGAAGACTTTTTGGGAGGAGGAGTAGGGAAGTGGGAAGCAGCACCAAGGAGAGCTGCTGGGAAGTGTTGCAATGCTGCTAACAGTCGATATCGGCTCTAGGACACAGACAGCACCCTAAGAGAGTGAATAACCTTCCCAGAAGAGGAGCCTGTACACGAGAGCGGGTGGGGTATCTGAGGACTCTGTAAAGTGAGCAAACATGACACAAACACCCTCCTGAGGAATATAAATACCTCCGCGATGATGAGCTGGTAAGAGGAGGGAAAGGCAGAATTCCCAAGGCAGAACTCAACCTCCTGACAGTACCGTCTGGGGTGTCCTGTAACATCTCTGCTAGAAGTTTCTCCAGGACATCTTGGTATTTTTCCAGCTGCCTTGGGGTGAGCCACATCCCGGCTTTGACAGGAACAGCTAGCTGTGGAGGAAGCCAGAAAAGTCAGAAGGAAAAGCAGAGGGGAGCACAGGGAGGCAGGTTGGGTTGCTTTGGCCCCACTTTGCTCAAGTCGGTAGAGGGTCTAGGGCTGATTTGAAGGGAAGAGGATGATCCTTATACGGGGAAAAACAACATTTTTAAGTCAATGCAATCTTGTGCTGTTCAGAGTGCCAAAGTTTTCATGCATTGGATCATCTATGGGCTGACTCAGAAACACAGATAAAGGTACCTCCTGGCAACAGAGACTGTAAAGAAGAAAATAATTTCTGAACCTTATAATCCTCCACTATCTCACACCTTGTCCCTTCAAGCCATCAGCTTTACTGATGCTGGTGAAGCACCCTGCCTTAGTAAAGGCTGCGGATGAGACATCATCCTCCCTCCAGACTGACTGACTTTGAGCCAGCTGTGGCTCAGATGTACCTGAAGTAAATAGAGTTGTTCCGGTCATGGCTGGAGGCACAGGAGGGCTGGTGGTTGCAGCGGGGGGGTGTTAGACACTGAGATGTGCCAGTTATTTAATGCTTTGAACTGTGAATCCTTGCTGTTTAAATCCTGTTATTGATTGTTGGTGCACCACGTTTGCGAGAGTAGTTGCACATTAACCTGCATCTTGGCCAAATTCCAGCCTAGCTAGTCCTACTGCCTGTCCTGCTCAGTCTATCCTGCAGTTTGGGGTGGACCTACACACTCCCTTTGCTGGCAGAGAGAATGGCTGAGCTCACTGCAGGAGCAGCTGCGCAGCCAGGGCAAAGAATTCCTTGTATTCAAGTGGAAAAGCACAATTTTCAGACTTGGATAACCAGGTAAGGATGCCTATGAGGGCTTACACTGGCACTTAAATGCCTAAAATGGGCAATTTTCTGCTCTGTATACAGACTTTGGGGGGGTGCAGCTGTATGGGCCCAGGTTTATAAATAAGGTCTTGCCAGTGCAGAGACTGTGAGATCAGAGGTGACACCAGGCAGCTAATCTGGAGCTGGGTGAAAAAGTGACAAGTTAAACCCAGAGCTGAAGCAGAGCTGCAAATTCCTGCCTTGCTGGTGTTCACTGAATGGCAAAGAAAGACCTCGTGTTGTTTCCATCTTCCTAAGGGAGAAAGCCAGGCTGGTCTGAGGGGTGACCAAGCTGCTGAATGTCCAAGATAATTTATAGGATGGAGGTAAAACCTTTCTCTGACACAACCTTGCTCAGTTGCCTGGCAGGAAACGGGTGGTATTCCTTTATATTGACTGTGAGCTCCCTGTTAACACCTGCTGCCTTCTCATGCAGCACCACCAAACGCTCCTCTGTGGCCAGGCCCTGTGGGCTGACTCTTGGGCTACTTGTCCACCTGCGTGCCCTCATGGGCTCCTTAGAGTTGCATGGTTCAACATACCTAGATGGTCTTGAACTTGCTGACATCTGCACCGGATTCAGAGAATCCGGCTTCAGAGAAGCCTTCCTCTTCCAGCTGCTGCAGAGAGGTCAAGGATTTCTTCTGCCCTCCTTTGTTTCTCTCTTTCCTGCAACTTCACAGTAGAGAGCAAACAGGGCAGTGATGCTGGGACGCAGCATTGTGCGGGTACTAAACCTGCTCTGCACCATATCAACAGTGTGATGCCCAGCAGCCAGGAGCCTGTGGAGCTGGGCACAAAACCAGAGGGACTGGAGATCTAACCGCTGCCCGGATCCAACACAGCATCCTTCCCCAGGGCCACAGCTCACTGGGAAGGGACCCATCAGCTGTGGTCAGCATGGCCTTGGGGGCTGTAATTCTGACATGCAGCAGAGGCTGCAATGTTGGGTGTAAGGTCAGGTTACAGGATTGCATGTAAAAGACCTGTAGCAAACATGACGCTCGTAGATGACTCTTTGACCTGTGCAAGGTAACGCTGTCAGCAGGATGTGGTAGCCAAGTATACTGACCTTACAGAGCTATTCTAAAGGCCTGGTTCTGTTCTGTGGCAATGGCAATGAAGTTTAATAAAAGCCTGCACAGCCTCATTGCAAATGGAGACGTTGCGTATTACCAGCCTTTCTTACAGGTCTGTAATATCAGTCCTTTCCCATTTATGGGGCTAAACTTGGCTTCAGGACCCTCCCTTTCTTCCCAGCCCAAAGAGGAAAGCCAAAGCTGTTTTGGGATATGACAGACACGACAGGAGATGTAAAATGCAGGGAAGGCCGTGCTCAGTGTCAAACAGACTGCTTGCTGTGCACTTGCTTTGGTTTGAACGTGTGCTCGGAGGAGAGGAGGCAGCCTTTGGAAGACTGATTTCACCCACGTACATCTAGAAGACCCTCAATCAGACACATAGCTACGAGGGTTGTGATGTATGAACAATCGATCTGGGGACCGTGCGTGGGTCCCCATCATCTTCCTCAAGGAGGCTGAAGGATGCCTGTACTCCCCACAAAAAGCAATTGCCATCCAGCGAGAGGATAGGTTTTGGAAACAAGATTTCTCCCCAGAATCAATGGGTGTGTTGTGCGGGGGAAGCTCACTTTGGCTGTGTTTAAGAAGATGCAGTCTCTGAGGCTGCCTGCCTGACACCTTTCAACAGTATTAGTTTCACATCAAAAGAAAAAACATTCTCCTCTCTGCACATCCCAGAGGTGACAACCATCTGGAGGATGGTTAATTATTTGTTACAACAAAAAGACCCATCAGTATGGTGATGGGAGGCTGCAGCTTCTTTATAAAAATTACAGCCACTAGCATGGAGGAAAGAAAAATGAGACCCACTAGCTGCAGATGATAACCCACACAGGTCTTTTAGTTCTTATGTAAAGGAGTCCAGGCTCTTCCTTTCTAGTCTCACGTCGTAAAAGTTGTCTCTGCCCTCTCCCATAGCCCTTAACTTTGGGACGAGTGAGGGACTGCCAGTATCATAGTATCTCCTGTTTGAACAGAAGGGGCAGATGATGGGGACGACAGTGGCACAGTGTGATTTGGCAGAGCTTGGGGGATGAGGGAGGAAGAAACACCTTTCCTGGTTTATTCAGGGCACCAGCCCCTGCAGTACATTTCTTGGGGTTACCTGCATTTTCCGGAAGTCGCTCTGGGTGAAAAAGGGCACGAAGCCTTCGGTCTGTTCAGCCAGCATAGACACCATGTACACCAAAAGCAAACTGGCCACCACCTTCTTTGAAACCATCATGAGAGTCTGAATGACACAGGAAAGAAGAGACCAGGGTGAGAGTGGAGGTGGCCATTTGACAAGAAATCCCTTTGGCTTTTGATCAGCTGCGATCTAATTTATCCACCAGCTAACTAGAGGTATATTTACTCTTCCAGTTGCTCCTGAGCTGAGAATAGAAGTGTCTTGACTGACAATTCTCCTCTCAAACCTTTTTCTGTAAACAGATTTGTTCTTGAGCAATATTCTCCAGAGACTTCAAGCCCAGCCCTTCAGTACTGTTAAAGACTCTCTCTGTTCTGCAAGCTTTAGCCCTCCAGCCGTACTGGTTTAAGACCCGCACACATCTAGAGCAAAATGCTTCCATCAATTCCATTGACAGCAAGGGAGACAGAGTGATGCTGTAAGAGAGAAAAACCCTAAGACTGCTGTTTTGTTAAATTTTGTTTTCATATTCCTCACCCCTGAAAACCTGCCTTGGTGGACTGAATCTTCTAATAAGCCTCATTGGGTCCAAGAGAGCTGGGAAGGGCATTTGCCAGCCCGGATCCATAAAAGCCGAGTATAAAGGGCTTTAAAAGCTACCTTCTGAAGTGATTTAACAGCGACTTCACGTCAGAAGAGAACTTACGTAAACATTAAATGTTCTCTTTAAATATTAAAATATTCTCTCTGGACAAATTTAATGAAGTCTGGTCCCACAGCTTAACTACTCTACCTGATTGGAGCCTGATCCTTAATTAGTTTCAGAAACCTCTTGGTTTGGACGTTATTGAAAAGACATTGTTAGGTCAAAATTGACCCCTAAATTAGATTCCCCATAAATATCAGCTAGTATTGAACCAAAGGCCAGTGGAAGTTAATAAATATTCCCTTTCTGTAGCACTTGCCAGTCACATCCCTCCGCTGTGTGCCAGGCCAGGGGAGGGCTGGCGGCGAGCGAAGGCAGCTGCAGCCCCTCTCCTCTCCTCTCCCTTGGCACTGCTTAGGGCAGCACCGGTGCCATCTCCCCCCTGCCCACCCACGCTCGGTCATCAAAGTTATCAGCTGCACTGGGACATCGCCCTGGGTGACCCAGCCTGATGTACCATTTGCTGCAGTGATCAGAAGAGGATTTCTCGGGCTCTCCCCTTGTAATACAGCATGTTGATATGCATATGTGCTGATAACACGGTGTTATCTCAGTAGCATCAATCTTTTGTGCCTTTTCATTTATTCTATCACCACAATAAAATACTGCCATATACAAAGGAATAAACCCAGTCACCTCCTTCGTCTCTTATTGACTATCCCTTTGTGAATTGATTCGCTCCCTCTTCCCCCGGAGAAACACTCCCACACATTACTCCAGTCAAAAATTGTCTTTTCTGAATGTCCCTTCCTTATTTTGTAAGCAGGACATGTCTTTCAGACCCGAGATCTCTAGCTCAATGCCTCTCCAAGCAGACACGTACTTTGTTGTTAGTGAATTTGCTTCCCAGCTACAAAGAGAAAGCACAAAGCAGGAGGATCCCAAGTTCAGTATCGGCACAACAAAGTACTGCGGTTGCATGGGGCTGGGTGCAGCATTGCCCAGCTCTGCTTATGCCTGCGTAAAATGGGGTGAAATGCCAGTTTGGGGGCAGGAGGGGTGAACATCCACCTGGTAGTGGTGTGAGCACAGTGACAAGACAGTACGTTTATCTACTGAGCTGTCTTCCAAAAAAATCAAATCGTTACTGTCAATAGGAACTGTCTGTGACTCATTTTCTGTCTGTTCAAAGCAGCTCCCCGAGTGCAGAGGGCACCTGGGGCTCCCTGTGCCTCTGCGGCATGCTGGGTGCTCACGACAAGCAGGGAGGCAGGAGATGGTGGAATCGATGCTCCCACGATGGAGGATGAGCAGAAAACACCTTTCCCCTTGTTTAAGCATCGATTTTGTTTCCTCCTTCTTGTCAGAGCTCTCTCTGCTGAAGCCAACATGTGCTGGTAACACCAGCGCCTATCTGAGCACCCAGAAAGTGCCCACCCCACTGAGCTTGCAAATGGGAGCAGACACCAAGCACCTACCTGGCGAGCACAGCTACGGGATGCTGGAGGTCAGCCCTCTTCTTGGTCCTGTTCACGCCTGGATGCTCCTGCGGGCTTTCCCACCCTTTATATACGTGTAGAGGCACCAGTGCACAATCGCTTACCTGCTCAGGTGCCCACACTTCCAGCAGAGCTGACGAACGGCTACCTGGCATGCATGGAAACAGATTTGCCGGACAGGGAACATTGTTATCTGCATTGGATTTTTAAGAGTTTCTCGTTTCCAGGAAGATCCCCTTTCCTCCCTCCCCAGGCTTCTGTCTTTAGGCTGGCAGCTGTTCTCGGTGGGTCCCACAGCTGGACAGGGGATCTCTGTCTCAGTTTCCCCATCTATGAGCTGGAGAAATTTCTCTCTCCCAGCTTGTCTTTTTAGATTGTGAGTCCTCTAGGATAACGTGTTTATGATGCGAGAGTATCAGTGGTAAAATGATGCCTATATCTTAATTATATTTCTACTGTAACGTGAACAAATCACAATAATAATGATGTTGCCACAAAATAAGCATAATGCAGAATGAAGTTTCACCCACCAGCATTACAAAAAGTATAGATTTAAGGTTATAAATCCCTGGCAGGATCTAGAGCTAAATATTAAAATAATAAATAAAACTATACGTGCTAAATCTATCACCAAAAAGCTTTATAAACTGAGCAGACAAGTGGGAAGATATCAAAGCAGTCCAGGAGATTTATCTGTCCATTTTGAGTCTTCATGTGGCCCCTTTTACCATCATAACTGAGCATCTCACCGTCCTGGACACACTGAACACCCCTCAGGGACACAAAACCCTGCACTGACATCTCTCTCCAGACAAATGAGGTGCAGAGAGAGCAAGTGACTTGCCTAAGATCTCATCTTCGGTCTCCCAAGACTATCAGACAGGCGCTGATGCTGGAGGGTTTGGGATCAGGCCAGAAATGTTCTGGTGCTTCTCACAGACTGGTGGCTACGTGTGAGGAAACCTGAGAGCAACCAGCTGAAAGCAGGCGAGATGCAAGAGGGAAAAAAATGAGTGGGGGACGCAATGAAATCCTACTGCATCAAATGGCTTTATGGGGTGTTATAGCAGGGGTGCGCAGCGGCATGCCTGCCTGGCTGGTTGAAAACTAAGCACTGGCAGTATTTGCTGGAGACAAGGGGAAAAATGCTATTGCCCGAGCCTGTAAAACGACTTTTCTCACCTAGCTCCATTGCAGCTAGTCAATACGACATGTACACACTGCAATGCACGTTGGTCCTCGCAAGGGACCTGCTGCTGTCACTGCAGTCAATAACGCTCGATTTGGGCCAAACCCGTCCTTTAAAAATGTGGCAGTCACTAAGATGCTTCCCAGATCCCTGTGCATTTACTGCGGCTTATCACCAGGCAATGGAGTGGTCCTAAACTATAAAACTTCCAGAGAGGTCAACATCGTTTTTCTCCCTGGGACCATGTGTATGTGTGCTGATGAAAAGGACATTACACGACAGGTAATAACCACCCCCCCTTTGCTAAAGAATCTGCGCAAAGCCCATTTGACACCGGTTCTCATTTTAATTGACTTTTCCAGTATTTTTTGCATGGTTATGATGGATGCAGCTGACGAGTCAGCAGATGGTGTTGGGAAGTGACAAATTAATTACCAAGAAAGGTCACTTTTTCAAAGCACTAAACTTTCCCATGTCTTGTCCCCTTTTACCTCAAAAATGTGGCTGGCTGGCAGGTTTCCCATCCATCTGTGATGAAGCTTTCTGCATTGGAAAGGACAACCTTTAAAATAAAAAGGGAAGATGAAAATTAATCATATCTGTATTAGTTGGATACTGTCTGCCAGGTTCACCTCTTAATTATGCAAGAGTACTCAAAAAGGAACGAAAACAGGGAGCTGAAAATAAGGGACCTGATTCCAAGACTTCTTCAGCGGAAGCACCAGAATGCGTGGGAGCAACAGACACCTTTTTGCTCTAGGTTTACCCAGCCCATAAAAGCAGCTTTTAGCATGTCCCCATGGCCAATGCAAAATGAGGATAAATGGAAATAAAAATCACAGCTGGAAATCTCACTCCCTAGCATTATAATGCAAAAAAAATCTGTCTTGCTGCAGTCCCTGTAACCATTTGCAATCTGCAGCGCCCCTGAAACTGTCCTTGTTTTATGAAGCAAAATTGCAGCAGAGGTTAGAAGCTGAACAAAAATACGATGTACAAAATGGAGTTGCTTGCAGTTCTACTCCTACCTAAAGTTAAACGTTTGCCGTAATTGGGAGTAATTTTAACAGGAAACTGGCAGTAGTAGTAAAGTCCATTAAGCTATGCATCAATTGCAATGTCAAGGAATCAAGGGAAAATGAGCTCCCTGTGCCAGCGACGCTGAGCATTTGTCTCCATGTCCTGTACTTTTCCCTCCAAGTCACTCTGTGCTTGGGGTATTTTGGCAAGTGGGTTGCATAAAAAACAGGAGATAGAAGCTAACGTGAGTCTGAAGCTGAATTTCAGCCCTAGGCTAACACAGCGGGCAGAGAGCATGCGGGGAGAGTGTGAAAGACTGAAATCCTGCACTGCTGCTCCGCCTGACTCTTGGTCAGGCACCGGGGTGTCCCCCAGCAAAGCTTCCAATTTCGGGGTGAGCATCAGAGCTGTAGCCCTAGCCCTGACAGCCATGGTGGCCCAAATCACCCTCTCTGCCCCCATATCTGACAACCCTTGGATGGGGCTGGCACATATAAGAAGGGAGGGCATGGCTTCGTGCATGTCCAGTTTGCTCTCACAGTCCCACCAGACCCACAGCAGCCATCAGGCTTGGAAAATATGTGTCCCTCAGCCCCAGTTCCCCTTCCTGATGCCCATGCGATATCCATCTCACCCCACACACAAAAATTAAATTATTTTTGCTTGGAGTCAGATGGGTGAAAAACATGGCACATGCTCTGCTGAACTGAACGTCTGCAGTCACACAGCTGAAGTCGAC